GTATAGAGTTGTAACAGTAGCAATCGGTATTAACATTAACAAAGTCATTTTGAGTCTTTTGTAACAATTATAGTTTTCTGTCACTTACCATTTATGGTGACATTCGCTTATTCAGAAGGGGAAATTAATAGGATTACCTGAGATTTTTTAACAGGCTACAGTGAACGCAATATAGCAAATAAATGGAAGAGAGAATTAAAGAGAAAAATTAGCTAGGAACTTCATATGCGTGCATTAGGAGAATATTTAAAACAAAAAAGGATACCCAGGGGCCTTAGAGAAGAATAAACCCCACGTTGTGCAAAGATAACATAGAACAACTTGGTTCAAAATTCTTAATAAGTGCTCTGTAGATCTAATGGTCCTGACCATAGATTCTTTACAAAAGGAACTGGTGCAACTGATTAAAGAAGTAGCATCTATTGAACATGAATTAGAAGCTCTGACCACACAAAACAGAAACCCTCAAAACACAGATAGAGAAGAAACTTAAAGGGACACTATAGTCACCTGAACAACTACAGCTTAATGTAGTTGTTCAGGTGAGATGTATAGCATCCTGCAGTGAAAATACAGTGTTTACATTGATTGATAGGAATACCTCCAATGGCCGTCACTCAGACGGCCACCAGAGGGACTTCCTATCATGTATGACCCTAAAAAGGCCATGTACACGTCAGACGTTTTAAAATACGTCTGATGTGTACAGGAGAGAGAAGGCACTGTGTGCGCACCTACTCTCTCCTGCCTGTCAGCAGAGGAGAGGGGGCGGGCAAAGACCGCGAGCTAACAGTCAGCTCAGCTTGCGGCCACGCACACCACGTGCATGCACGGTAGTGCGCTCAAGACTTCATAGGGCGGCATGAATGCCGCCCTATGAAGTATGTGTGCATGTGCGGCAAAGCCAAGAATAGACAGACTCAGGTTTCAGGGCATTCAGCCACCCTGCCCCTACCTTCTGAAACTCTTTACATCCAGCTATTGAGAGTGAAACGAATAATCTCACAGGAGGATAGGATACAGCCAGGTCTAGACTACATGTCCAACAAATTCAGAGAGAGGGGATATCCACCAGCAATAATATACTGTGCAAACTCACTTTGTGTGTCAAAAAGGCAGAAAAAAATGCTTATTACCACTACAGTTGGTACAAGCTAGCGGAAAGATTATCCCATGCCAAAGTTCAAAATATGCCTTTTGAAATACCCTGGGATGTCTTCTTTAATAAATGGTATGCCTTTATGGGGTAGTTGGATTACATAGCCTGCTAAAATACTCTAAAATAGGACATGGACACAGCATAAAAATTCAAAGTTTGAAAAAAACCTGTAATGACTGTCTCAAATGTGCCCCTTCAATGTCCAGATGTACCTGGCAAAGGAACATATGGGGGTATTTCTGTACTCAGGCGACATAGCTGAGAAACATTAAGTATTATACAGTTGTAGCACGCATAAGGTTTGCAAAATATACTGTGCAAACTCACTTTGTGTATCAGCGGAAAATGATCCCATGCTAAGGTTTAAAATATGCTTTTTGAAATACCCTGGGATGTCTTCTTTAAGAAATAGTATGCCTTTATGGGGTAGTTGGAGTATATAGCTTGCTAAAATACTCTAAAATGGGACATGGACACAGCGTAAAAATTGAAAGTTTTAAAAAAACCTGTAATGACTGTCTCAAATGTGCCCCTTTGATGTCCACATATACTTGGCAAAGGTACATATGGGGTTATTTCTGTACTCAGATAAGAAACATATGAAGTATTTTTTTTTTAAATTCTTTATTTTTTCGTGCAAGAGTTAATATTACAAGCTTTCATGCCTTGCCACAACAGCAGTAACATGTACCGAGATAAACAAGATTTAACAGTTGTGGCATAGGATATAGTTGCACTGGTTGGTAAGTGCTTGCTGAGGGCCGATGGCTTCTCCAGGGTTTCTGAGCAGCGTACTCCGCCCTAAGGGCCGGTATCTTTGAGCCATGGGTCTGGGGGCTCGGGGAGTCAAAGTCCCGCTCGCCACGTGGGCGTCGGAGGGTCCTGGTGCTTGATCGCCGTCTGCGACAGATAATTCTCCATCTGCGTGAGGATCACTGTGGGGTAAATACCCCCGAGTCCCCTGGTCCATGCGAGTTGTGCTTAGTTTTGGTAGCCTGTCGTGTATGTTCCGCACCCATTTGTAGGCCCTCCTTTCTCAGACCTACGCCCCTTCGGGTGCCTCCTTGTGTTGGTCTCTGCGTGTTTGTCACCCGCTTTTCTAGCTTGGCCCAGAATCAGGCAAACAGCTCATCCAGTCGTTGGAGTGTCCGCTCCATAGGGTGCATTGTAGTGTGTGGACTGTGTGCGATACCTCTGCACAATATATTTAATCACCCCTGTGAAACCGTCTTTGTGGAGAGTTTAGGAGCAGAGAGTGAGCAGAGAATGAGCAGAGTTTGAGAGCAGAGAGAAAGCAATTTGTGTGTAAACAAGCAAGTGAGAGTGTATCAGAGAGAGAGAGCAAAGTGAGAGCAAGTGATGGATAGTGATGTAACGAACTGTTCGCCGAACGGTTCGCAAATGGTTTGCCACGAACGGTTCACAGCGGACTCATCATTGAGTAAACTTTGACCTTGTACCTCACAGTCAGCAGACACATTCCAGCCAATCAGCAGCAGACCCTCCCTCCCAGACCCTCTCACCTCCTGGACAGCTCACTAAGAATGCAGCTTCACAATGGATGCTGTCCAGGAGGTGAGAGGGTCTGGGAGGGAGGGTCTGCTGCTGATTGGCTGGAATGTGTCTGCTGACTGTGAGGTACAGGGTCAAAGTTTACTCAATGATGAGTCAGCGGTGAACCATTCGTGGTGAACCGTTCGCGAACCGTTCATGGCGAACAGTTCGCGAACCGTTCGGCGAACAGTTCGGGACATCACTAGTGATGGATGGTACACAAAATTAATCACTGCAGTAAAGTCACAGTGTAGCAGAGAGACACCCTGATAATAAGACTACCTGGCTTGCACAGCCACACACTCTCTCACCCCCCTTTTTAAAAAAAAAAAAAAAAGAAACACAATCCAGAAGAAAAAAAAAGGCAAAATTGTCTCTCTCTCCCTGGAACACATACTTAAAAAAGCAATGTGGCTCCTCAAGTTTGCAACAAGTAAAGTGCAATAAATGTAATGTAATTTATCTCTCGCAATCTCTTGTGCTCTCACAACTAGTCTGGTCACATGAATGCACGCCAACACCCTGACAGCCCGATTTATATACTATCCCACCTCAATGACTCTGTGTGCCTTCACTGGCCAAGTGTCAGTGACAAAGTCACCATTAGTGATGTACCGAACGGTTCGCCGGCGAACGGTTCCTGGCGAACATAGCATGTTCGCGTTCGCCACGGCGGGCGAACATATGCGCGGTTTGACCCGCCCCCTATTCGTCATCATTGAGTAAACTTTGACCCTGTACCTCACAGTCAGCAGACACATTCCAGCCAATTAGCAGCACAGCCTCCCT